TTAATCTGCACTGCGCCTTGTAAAATAAGCAATCTGATCATATCCCTCCTGCTGCATCTCTTTTAATAAAATATTACAGTGGACGAACAATGCAAGGCCACCGCGGTGTTGGAACACAAGAATTAGAGCAAAATGATTTTCAGAAGCATGGGCACCTGTGGCCAGAATATATTTGTTTCATTTAATATTTCTTTTTGCCCGCTGCATTTCAAGTGATTTAGAGCTCTAAATACACCTTTCTACAACAAATTAAGATAATGCTCCACGTCTAAGATTCACATTAAAACCAGGGGTCTTCCCCTCCAGACATCCACCCACTTGCACCACTTCCTTCACCTAAAACAAAACCTCAGGTTAATGATTCTGTAAATTTCCCCTCTCTTACAACTTTAATTGCCCAACAAAAGAGAAACATGGCTCTGGGAGTGGGATGTGATCCTCTTCTGGCATAAGCATCAGAATGGAGGCTCACTTTGCTTTCTGTGGACGCTGCTGGTTGACATTTAACATCACAGAGACAGGGGAGGTGCAGAGCCAGGTGCCCTACATGCACATCTGACCCCCTGCTAATGTCAGATGGGGGGAAGGTCCCACACACTCACCCTTGCTTCACTCACACAAAACACTACAAGGCTGCTTAGTGCCAGGTATTAGTCTCAGTTATTAGTTTCCTGTTTTTTTTAATTATCTTTATCAAGCAGAAGATGCAATTCATTCAAAATATCCTGATTTTAGAAACCATGTATGCTTTGTATTGCAATAAAATTCAAGCTACAGTTTCCACTGCAAAAACAAACAAACTGATAATGCATCATAGCAGGAAATCCGAGGGTGTGGGTTATCAAATTTTTATGTCCTTTAAATTTACTTTAACTCAAATAACAAAATTTCAGCCTAAGAAGCGAGATTCTTCCTATTCCCTTTCTCTACAACATTATTTTTTTTTTTGCTGAGATCCCAGGTATTGTTAAATTGGCGTAATTAAGAAAAACAATAAAAGAATGTGAATGATCGTCTGTAAGCAAAGTTGTTAACTTTAGAGAACATTACAGACGCAGCCAGCAGGCCTGTAACCCAGTGCAGATGACCTGGTTCTGCTTGCACGCAACCATGAAATAACAACTGCTGTTTGGTGTTTGATGTTAGATCGGGGAGCATACTGTCCCTGCTCAGGAGATGCAGGCGCACGGTGAAGTCAGGATTTGTTTGTTAAAAAAACATAAAATGGAATCAGGTCAGGTCCTGAAACAAAGAGGGATCTCCTGGATTTAAAAAAGAAAATTTGGGTAGTACTTATTTTAGGGTCAGGCCTGGCTGAATAAACAGCATCACAAACCACATAGTCTTTGTTTACATTACACTTAAAGATATACTTTTATTGTTGTCACAAAACCTTTGTGCATATTTATGAGAAGCAAGAGGCTAAAGACATGTGGCTCTAAAATATGATGCTTATTACTTCTTTAAATCAATTAAATTGGTGTTACTGCTATTGTGGTCACTGCACAGTTCCCATGACAACCACACATATGCTGTGATATATAGGAAAATTGTGTTTACTATTTGGAGAGAAAATCAAGCCATAAATAGTTTTTATATAAATATTTCTATCAACAAACTGAATTCAATTATGTGACAAATTCTCCAACACAAAGAGAATGCATTGTAATTATAGATGAAGTTAATTATCTTTAGGAAATAAGAAACCATTTCAAATTGTTTATTAAAGGTAGTAGATGCAAAATGTTCTCAAATTCATAATGTTCAATATTTTTAGATTACAAATATGACTGAAGACTTCATCGTTATTTAAGAAACTTGTTCTCCAAATCTTCCACTATTTGATAGTTCATGTTGTTCTACTCAAATATACAGTATGCCCCCTTGTTCCTATCTGGTTATGCAGCTATGCTTACATGTCTGTATTGCTTATCTAACATAAGACAGTCATATTTCATTTAAGGCAGGAAAAAATAACTTTTTGTTCCAGTTTAACAACATGAATATTCAGGATATGACTGACTGCTCCACCACAAAATTACTATAAATATAGCAGAATTAAGTTAATCTGGAAATATTTCAGAATTTGTTTTTTTAAAAAAGACAGAAAGACTTCTTTTGAAGTTGCTTTTTTAGATTTACCATCAACACAAAAACGAAAGCTAATTTTTTATTAAAATCAGGTTTGAGTTCAAAACAACGAGCTTTTCTTCATTAAAATCAAATTATGACTGAGGAGAAAATAAAGAAAAAATTCCAAGCAAACTTATGAGGCTAAATGACGAATTCATACTATTTTACAATTTTGGTGTGATGAATACTAGGTTAGATTTATCAACCTAAGCAGCCTTGATGTAGAGAGCATAGCACAAAGAGTAGCGTCGTTGGGCTGTGTGTGTTTGGGTGGGGGAGGCCCGATGTATGATGCAAAAAATGAAGGGGGGGGGAGCTGACAGAAAGTCTGCTGTTATTAAAGCATCTCGTTGCTAAAACTGATGCAACTACAGCGTTTACTGCTGCAGAGCACACAGCCTGCAGCAGTATGGACACCTTCCCCTATGGACACACATACAGATTTTCATTTACACTTCGATACACTGCTTCCCAAAAAGACCAAGGCCGATTCTTTAATGCCCACAATCACCGTTCTTTGCATTTCATGGAGCCTACTGTTATCTTGTAGCGTGCGTAAGGTTATTTCATCGCGACTGAAAAAAAAAAAAAAACCTTTTTCCTTTATTATTGCATTTTCCAACAAGTGCGTTTCATGCGGCCGACCTAAAGAAGAAGCCTTGCTTTCAGAACACAACTAAGAAGTATTTTCGGTGTTTAAACACGGTGTTTTAATGTCTTAAAGTTCACGTGGACACCGTGTGAAGAAATCTGTGCACGTGAAGGGCGTTACAATCCGGCTGCTCCGGTGTGTTTTGGTGCAAACTAATGCTATTCAAAATGAGAAAACGCTTACCCCTCACAGCATTATTTGATGCTACTTTGTCACATCGGTTCAGCGCCGTGCAGACAGTTATACCCCCTTTAGTCCTTTGAGTCCTCAGGTGTGGAAAACAACGTCTCACTGACTGCGACAGAAATCCCATCCCAAAGACGTGGAAGGCAAATCCAACAGCCGAGAGAAACAGATGAACGAGCTGCAGTTTCATAAATAGTCCAAATCCAGTTAGCCGATTGTTTCCATGTGCGCAGAGCCCCAACCTCAACTTTTACAAACTTCATCCTCTGTCCAAATGATGGAATTTGCATCTGCAGCCACTAGTTATTACTTTCATTCCCCCTCACTTCTTTTTGTCGTCGTCCCCCCCCCCCTCCGCTCCCCCCTTTTTTTTCCTGAAACCATGGGGCCCAGTGGCTGCCTCTTGATTCATAAATGTTTATGTGTTTTGAAGTGCGGGACAAAAGGGGGTGGCCCCTGTGACCCCTAGGAGCCCCGACCTTGTGCAGGTTCATTGTGAGGCTCTGGGAAAGGGGGCTTTTGGGACGGAGACCCCGGGCCACTGACCCACACACACACATCCCAGAGTCCTGCCATTCATCTGTGCACCGCTGCATGTCGCCCCGCAGCTCCTATTGTTTCAGAGGGAACAATAGCTCTCTCCCACCCCCCACACACATACACACACACCTCTATGCAGCTTTCAAACTTCCCTCCACATGTAGCCTGATGCAAGCCCCGGCAGACTTTCCCTCTAACCCTTTAAATAAGGAATCAAACATGTTGACAAAACGTTAAATCTGTAAATGGTGTCTTCACCCGTGTTGCATCACGCACAAATGTTGCATCATTGCGCAGAGTGGGATCTTGCAGCCGTCAAAAGGCCAACACTGTAACAAAGTGAAACAAAAAAACAAGAACTATTAGATAGAAACTGTGAAAGGAGAGGGTGTGGATGAACTGACAGAATGGGAAAACAACGTGAACAACACCTACAGGCTATTTGTGATGCTAGAATCAGGTTAGTATTAATAGATTGAAGGTATAAGTAGGCATTAGCAGGCCTGTGTGTTTCAGGGTGAGTGAGGTTACTTAAGTGACATCATGCATGGGCTCCTGCTTTCGATTGGATCTTTGCCTGGGAGTCAATCACGACAGGAAGTGAAGGGGATACAAACGAGCAGTGCAGGGCTGCCACTTGCTTTAATCAATGACTACCAATAGTTGCAGCCAAGAAAACTAGAGTTCCTCACATTTTGCAAGTGTGAATTTGAGGAGAAATAGTTTGCATGCAAGAGAAGACCTGTCAAAGAAAACACAACTTAAACATTTAACATGCGCTGGAGAGAAGTTTTTTTGTTTTTTTTAGCCATTATGCCTGCAGACAGGACATCTTAATTTTCAATCTTTGGGATACATTTCCCTCAGTTTGTCTTGCAAGGTTCAATGTAAAATTGGACTTCCACAGCATAGAGGTCCTGTGTTTGAATCCAGCGGCCTGATGCGTGAAACTGCTACGCACCAATGGACCTCTGAAGACAAACGGCATTGAACGTGATTAAGTGTGGCCGGCTACAGTATAGTGCTTTCCCGGGTTATAATACTAACTGTATGCACATATAAAATACCGAACGGTCCTAGAGCAGAGTGCCATGAACGTCACAAAAGTAGCCGTGAAATGAATGCAAACAATTACATCCTATCATGTACAAATAATAACATCAAAGCAGGAATATAGGAAAGGCCTATTGCCAAGCGCGAACAGGATTAATATTCGCCTGTCAGTGTGAGCAAGCGCAGTCGTATGCATAAAAGTGTGTGCGTGTGCATGTGAGAGAGAGAGAGAGAGAGAGAGAGAGAGAGAGAGAGAGAGAGAGAGAGAGAGAGAGAGAGAGAGAGAGAGAGAGAGACTTTATTGTAATGCACAGAACGACCTGCCCTCTTTTCAAAAAAAAAAAAAAAAAAAAAAAAGGCGAGAAAGCGCAGCCATGCTTTGCGGAGGCTCCAGCATCGCTCTCATTAGTAGCTCCAGCTTCTAGGTGGACGGACACTTTGCTCGTCCGCCTCTACAGGAAACCGGGAATACAAGCCACCGCGATGCCTCAGTGATGTAAAGATCTGCATCGAAGTGATACCGCCTCTACAAGACGAAATCAAACCGCAGAGCGAGGATACACGTTAGCAGAGCACAGTGTGCTGGGATCCACCATATGGCGTGGAGCAGATCCTGGTGAGTATCTTTTGCTTTGCGTTCGCTCGAATTCTCGATTCTTTGATCATGTTGTGGATCAAATGAATTGTGATCTTTACTTTAAGCGTTAGTCGCGTACATGTGCATTACAATGCGTTAGAGGTGAATGCTGGTCATTTGGAAGAGATGTTGGTCCTGTGCTCTTCCCTCTGCACGTTGCACTTGCCGTTGTTATAGCGGGCTATAAGGAATCCTACACCATTTTCAAGAAAGGAGATGATAAAACAGTGGAGGGAAACATCAAGCGGGGCGGATAGATATTTTATGTCGACGGTTGCATAATCAATAAGAGGACAGAAGGAGGACGATGCAATTCCGAGCCTCGTCGTTCGTCCGTTGCGCGGTGCTTTCGGACAATAGAGGTCGTTTTCCTGTCGGTGGTGAGAAACACGGAGAGCAGAAACACGATGATGTGCTGCGATAAAGCTCCAAGTTACAGTCGATACAAGAGAGTCGAGCGGTTTTCAGGGTGATGGGGACGTTCCGTCTAAAATGGCGTTCCCCTTTGTTTCTGCATCCCTCTACTCTCTATAACAGCGAGTGGGTAATTCTGTGCCATTACCATATCTACGAGCCTGCGCCTCTTCACGCCGACTGTATCTGTACACCACTGATTCACATGCAGTGGATTTCCAATGTTTGATGGTGGAACACGAGCTGTCAGATGGAGAAGTGGTCATCTGTATTTATGGGCTCAGAGGCTCTGACAGGATGAGACCTGAGAGCAGGCGAGACTCTAATTATGACAAGACAGCACTGTCTTCAATTGAATTTCAGCGGATCTTAGCCTTCATTAGTCAACCGTCTCTGTGTATGTTACAGCACTGCCGATTATACCAAATTAGAACTGCATTTACATCTGTGTCATCCCTGTGTCACTATTTTCATTAAAGTCATTTATCACATGAATCTACCCTTTAGTTTTCAGAACAGACAGCCTGTTGTGTAAATCTTATTTCAATGACAACAAATCAACTGCAGCTCATCACATGGAGTGATTTTAAAGCAACCTACACTAACATCAGTGTGTGTGTGTGAGAGAGAGAGTGAGAGAGTGTAAGAGTGCATGTGCGCATGTCCAATTGTAAGAGTATGATGATCGTGAGTGAGTGTACACGTGTGTTCCCTTTTTTTGACAAGTGAAATGTTGCATAACCGTTCACAGCCAATGCCAGATTTAGGGCTTCACAATTTGCGGGGCCATTGTTGGCATTTCCTCTGCTGGTCCGTACACACACGCACACACACGCACACACACGCACAAACGCACGCACGCCCCGAGTATACCAACCCTCCCGCAGAACTATTACCACATATCGGCGATCAACGTTAATAATACTTCGAATTGGAGTCGTCAATTTCCCTCCTAGTTTCAAGGACACGGGGCAGTCATGAAGAGGACGCTGGGTAATATAGAGGAACATCTGTTTGCCCAGTGACGTCACCCCCCCCCCTTCCACCCCCCCTCATCCCAATCCTCTTGTGCTGAAGGCAGATGCCTCATTTGTTTGGCTGAAGCTCCATTAATCCCAAAGTCAGAGGAAAAGACCGGACGGAGAGAGATCAGTCCCATTTGAAGGCGGCGGCGATGGTGCGCTCGCGCTGCGCAGCTCGGGCTCGTGGTGTTCCGGTCAGTGTTCTGTGGTGGGAAGCGCGTGCAGAGACGCCTTATACGCTGTGTTCAGGAAACCCGCAGTTATCAAGACTCTTTGGCTGCTCTAAGTGTGATTTGCGGCAGTTTTAACCGATGACCCGCAAGTAGAAGCTGCATGCTCGTGTGTGTCTGTGTGCGTGCTGAGAGAGAGAAAAAAAATATGCGTGACAAGGAAAATCAATAATTCGGACATGGAATGTGACTTTTTTTTCTGGTTTATGGACGCCTCGTGGTTTTTAATTTATACAGGTCAATGTGGGATATGATATTCTATAATCTGCATTTCTGTTTGAAGTTCATGACGCATTTTTCTTGTCTTTTTTTTTTTTGTTGCAGGAACATTCTGGGATAATAAGAGGACTTTAAAGCTTTCTGCAGTTTTGGAAGAAGCTGTCGAGTAAGAACCATCACAGGAGCCATTTTTCGACAGCGAAAGCTTCCTGGGAAGTATAATCATTTTGTCAGCAAACTACCTCTTGGTCGTTCTGCGTCCAAGTCATGTAACTTAACCTCGTCCCTTCATGTTGAATGATTTTGTACAAAATAAGGTAGGCCTGCACACCAACCGGGAGAGGATCTGACCTCTTTGGATACGTGTGGGAATATTGGCATTCTTTTATTTTTTTATTTTTTAGTCAAACTTGACATCCTGATACATTTTGTAGTTTCATGACAACGGCCTCCAATCTGCAATAGTAAAGTGATATTTATAAAGTCTGGGTAACACTAAAGGTTTAAGGTGTGTACCTATTTCCAACAGTAGAGTGAATAGAGATGGTCGACACACTCACGCACACGTGCATGCAAACACACGCATACACACACTCAGACAAGCGGGTTGTGTCTCTCCGTGTTCACAGCGGACCTTGATTTAATGTCTTACAATTAAGGCACGCGGTGAATGCCAAGAGATGATCCTCCCTACCTCGGAATCTGTCACATCTCTACTGTTTCTATTTGTTGAAAAAGCAGCATATTTGTGTCTTTCACACACTGCAGGTATTTCTGTCGTTTCGAAATGTACCGCATGATTTATGTACTGCACATTCTCCCCTCTCCTTCAACAATAAAGTAAATACACACAACCATTTTACTGCTCTGTTTTCTATGTTGTCTTCATTTGATGGCTACTGTGCGTTTGTTAAGTGTGTGTGTCAGCTGGAGCTGTCTATTAACATACACACACACACACACACACACACACACAGAGGCTTGCCGGGGAGCGCTGTCCACCCTCTGTGGTGCTGAAATCTGCGCACCACCGAGCAGCCTTTTGTTTCACTCTCCTGCCAGAGCACACGCGGAATAAGGGCCTCGACTGTGTTACAGTGGTACAGGAATGCAGCCCGGACCCGGCGACGTATTACCTTGAATGTACACAGGAAACACACCAGCACAAGCGAGGGTGTGAAAAAAAATCCAGAAAGCCTTCATTTTTGTTTTTTATTACGTCTAGCTGTTCGTTTGAAGACATGTCTGTAGACAAATGAAAAAAGGGAAAATCTGCAACAAGGATGTGAAAGAGGTGTCAATTCTGTCGTCTCAAGTCTCTCCTTTAATACTATATTTATGTCTTCTAATATTTTTAACATAACGTCACAGCCTCTTTATTTTGTTTTACAACCTAGCTCAAATTTACTGTCGTTTATTTCGAGTGATCAAATCTGCAGTGGAAGTCAGTGAACATCGTGTTCCAGCGACATATTGTTTCCTTCCTGCTCTGAGAAGCAGTACTTGTAAAAAAAAAAGAAAAAAAAAAAAAGTCCGTTTTCCTCATTCTGCAATAACCTAAAACGGGCATTGCATGACATGGATATTAAAGAATGATTTATTTGATCTGCATATTAATTTCCATGCAGTCGGTGTGAGTGTGAATGTAAATGAGGAGGTTGGTCGAGCTGCTCGAGCAGTAACGAACTCAAATGTCCGATTAACTCGCCATAAAGATGTTTTAGAAACACAACATTTGATGGCACTGATGAGACAAAGTCCAGCAACTGAAAGAGTGTTAAGGTATTTTTAATCGGATCAAATAACATCTTCCTGTCTCAGTCTGCCGCCTACCGGCCCTCAGTGGAACTGCACCCTGTTTTAAATCGTGGTGGAGACGCAGGTTTACCCCAAAGTTGAGCGTGTTTCACTATAGAAAAACTGAAATCGCGATAAGATTTGTAGACTTAAAATTATACACTATCCCAAGCATGCATAATTAGTTGTTTTTAAATACAAAAATAAATAAAAACACAGGATTTCTTTTACGGAATTTGACTGCACACCATAAATCAGATTTTGATTAATCACACGTTATGGATGGATGAAGGGCATGATTGGGGTGTGCATGTGTGTGTTTCAATTTCCTTAAACAACTTTAATAATAAAAATGACAACAAATCCTGAAATTAGAAGTGATAAAAAAAGAGGCAAATAAGTAAAGGAAAGAGGAATTAATAAATATATATTAGGTATGATCAACTTCCACAGCGTCTGTAATAACACGAGAAGTAGGGAGGAGGGGGGGGGGGCGCGACACTAAAACAGCATTTTGGTTTCCTATTAAATAAATAGAGCAGCCTACATGCCATGTCATGAATACGTTACACTGGAAGTTCCGCATTTAGAGCAAAACATGACCGAATTTAATTTTCATATCTGCTCTGTACAGCCTGAGAGTCTGGCCTCCACTGATAACCAACATCTTCAAAGTTGAATCAAATCCACGGGGATGCCGTAAAGCATGTTCATCATGCTCCTCTTTCCCATCACCCCTTCAGCAAGAAGTACGTTTGTCTTTATAAGTCAAATGATGCCCTCTAGTGGTAGAAAACTATAAATCTAGGGCGCTAGAAAAGTCTGGAAAATAACATAGTAGCAGATAAAGTCTTATATTCATATTTATAGCATACAACAAAAATAATTACAGCGAAATTGGATCATATTTATGAAAGTAGTAGTATATATTTTGTATCTGATTGGAATTACGCAGTCTAACAACTGTTATTGCTATAAAAAAAAGTAGAAATAGTAAAAATTCTTCACAGTATAAATATGGTTTTAAACAGTTGAGACACGCTCTGTGTCTGAACTTGTCTTCTGTTCCAGTCTTAATGGACACTTGTTCTCTTTTCTTACCCAGTTTAGCCTTCAATGGTCTCTTCATTACCAAAGTGCTGACAGACTGTGGCTGTAATGGCTGTAGCAGCATCCTGGCCCATCTTGTCTCATTAGCCGAACCTGATTGGCCATGAAGGTGTTCTCTTGCTGTTTCAGGATAAAGTGACTGTCTCTGCCACTCGTAAGATCATAACTCCTCAACTATTCTGCCCTCCATGGCCTCTCATGGAGCCTGAGCCGAGAGAGCAAACGAACACTAATTGAAATATGCTGGAAAGGGGGATAAAACCTTCACCTTGGATGTGTTGAGCAAGTGTTGGCCTATTGCATGTGTGATGCTGCTGCAAAAAACATTCAGCCCCAGTTATTTACAATATGACAATTTAGCATGAAAACACTTTTATTCTGATTACAAATGAAGTAAGCAGACCAGACATTTGGTATTTAAATTCCCACAGTGTATATATTATTCAAAAATAATGTATTGGCAAATGTCATGGCAGTACCTATAGAAAAGCTGAAAGTAATAGATGCAAAAATATATATCTTTCAACACAAGGAAGTATTGTTGTCAAAATATTATACACTGCATACTTAATGTATGTGTCTAAAATCAATGAATAAATAAGAGGTGCATTGCACCCGTCATGTGATTGATGAAGAATGGTATTGTTAGTAATAAGTTGACGTGGAAGTTGGGATTCATTTGTGACAAATTTGAAATCATGAATGATGTTAATTGACATTTTAAATACAGGGGACTTGTTTGAGTTGTCTCAAAAACACAGTGAGTAAATATTGTTTCTTGTTGAGACCTTTCGTGATCAACAAGATTTGTCAGAAGTGTTTTTTCTGTGGTGAGGATTTGTTCTTTTAACTTTATTAGCAGTCACAAGTGGTGAAGTACTGTACAGTATACTGGATAGTACACAGGTTTTTACAGGAAAGAGAAACTAAAACAGGGAGCTATGGGCGCCCGGCATGAAGCTAGGTTAAATGAGCTGAACTTCTGTGTGAGGACAGATACGATGACCTATGCCATAACTGACCACTCAAAATGAGCAGTGAAATATATTTTCAGCATTATTTATAGAACCAGACAATGACTAAACGGAGAAACATTCAAATGTTGCACATTTCCCTTCTTTCTTTGTCTTAATGTTATCAAACTATGGACATGGACTCTAAACAAACTCTCTTCTCTTCTCTCTTGGCAAACATTATTGTCTTCAGTGTGTGACATACTGGAGGGGGAGTGCAGACTTTTCTTCACAGCTCTGATCTAACAACACAATATGTATCTGCCAGGGTAGCATCTCTGAGGGTGAAAAAATCCACACCACACTGGTTGTGGTTTTAATATATATGGGGGTCATTTGCTATCACGGCTAAAGGTATCTTTAATGTGGGCAGCACACACGCCATGGTAACTAGCCATGGTAACTTGGAAGTGGAAAGACTTTTTTTGTACTTAATGCTTTGTGGCAGTTATCTACAAATGGCTTCCAGGGGAGAGTCATTACAGAAAATATTTTTTGTGCAAGTCTGAGGTGAAGAAGAATGTTTCCCCTGTGCAAGAGTCAGTCACATGTACTTTGGGGTTCCCTTGGCAACAGCGAAGATATCTTTGGAGTTTAGATAAGACTTGTCTGTTGTGTAAAAGAGCTCAGGACATAACAGCACCACGGACAGTTCTACTCTCCACCGACAGCCTAAAGTGCTTTAGAGTCATTTAAATTGAATATTAAAGTCATTTTAAGTTTTGCTTTCAGAATATTTGGGGTCTGCCAATAAGATTCTTAATGCAAGCTAATATGCAATAAAACAACCTTCTTTACATCACTTCTGGCAGATTGTTCCCCAGACATCCCTTTAGTTTAAATTCACAAGCTCACTGAGGTTACATGTGATGTTATCGATTATCAGTTTAAAAGAGCAAAGGCAGAGTAAAACGTCAAGCATATTCTGCATCTGCACAATTGTTTAAAGCTTATTGTTACTTAAGATGAATGTTTTACACACACTTTAAATAATGAATGGAAATATTCACTAGAATTAAGAATATATTGCTATTTTTACTTTATAGAACATTCCAACAGGGCTCATGGGGTTAGAAAAAAAGCTGGTTAAATCTCGATGTTTGACTTCCATTACAGTTGCACTACACCCCACAGCCCATTAGATGGCAGTATAAGCACAAGTTAATATTTGGGAGGGGGCTGTGTAATGGGAAATCTGATACTTGTAAGATAGACATACTATAACCAGAAACAGAAATCCCTGTTCAAGTTTGGAGAAATTTACCTCAGAAGGAAAAGCACGTTTGGGAATTTTCTTTTTTTTAAGTGCTAGGATTTTGAGAAACAAAATCTCAACAAAAATCTGAAGCGTAATCAGTAAAGTTTAAAAAGCTGCTCTGAAACATGTCATGGATTTGGTATCACAATCAAAGAGAACAACGAGAAGTCCTTAAACACACCAAAAAAACAAAAAAAGTCTTCATGTTGTGAATTATTGTGACTAAGTAAAGAAAATCCCCTTCTATAAATGCTTAGGTTGAGATTGACAAAAAGAAAACATTAATTTGATTTGAAAATTTACTTTGCAAAATAAATGCCCTACAATGAAATCACTGAATTTGTTAATTTTAAAGAAACAAATGGCCTCGCACAAAGCACCGTTATAAAGAGTGTTTTACACACACTCAGAGGGAGAGACTGCGCGCACGCGGTATTGTTTGTCATCGTTTAACTGCCATTAATTAAAACGTTAACATGATTGGGTGGAGAGTGTGAGGGGGAGAGGGTGTCTCTATCCCAATAGGCGAATCCCTTTTAATAACCCGCCTCGAGATAATGATGTAAAAAGACTCGGGCGTCTCGTGCGTAACGAGGATGATCGTGGAGATCCGGTGAAGGTGAATCAGAGGCACAGAAAGAGAGAGAGAGAGCGAGCGAGAGAGAGAGAGAGAGAGAGAGAGAG